TAGATGTGATGGCTACAGTGTCTCACCTTCCCACCTATATCCGACCCCAAATTGCATGCTGGAATATCTCCACCCTTAGGACCTTCTATAAGAATACTATACTATCAAAAAAAAAAAAAGAATACTATACTATCGTGGGGTGGTGAGGGGGGTTGGGACCCTTACTTACCTGCCCTTTGTGATCACTGCTCAGCCATCTAAAGAAAGTGGCATGAGATTCTTGATTGGCACCATGTGTAATGACAGCCCCGGGCTCAGGCATCTGCATATAATGGCAGCGTTTGGTATCTCCTGCCCCATAAGCCGGCCCCTGAGAAGTAGACTTGGCCAACAGAGCAGCCTGCTGTGTCCTCATGGTTGTACACACCCCCACCCCCCACCCCCGCCAATTCTCCCTTTGAACCCATCTACTAATCCCCTGCCTGCAGCTCTATCCCTGGCTCTACTCTATAGCTAAATATTAATTATTAAGTTAAACGTGATCAATAAAAACTCTCTGCATGTCTCAAAAAAAAAAAGCACTGTGGAGACTGGTCCTCCTCTTTCCTCCGCTACTCCTGTCATTCATTGCCCAATGGGCACATGAATAAAGTAGACATCCTACCACATCCTCGTTTAACTCACCTATTTGGCCTGTTTCAAAAAAAACCAGATGGATCCTGGAGAATGACATTGGATTATTGTAAACCTAACCAGGTGGTGACTCAAATTGCAGCAACTCTTCCAGATGTGATTTCATTGCTTGAGCAAATGAATACTTCTCCTGGTACTTGGTATGCGGCTATTGATCTGGCCAATGCCTTCTTAGTGGACCACCAGAAGCAGTTTGCCTTCATATGGCATGGGCAAAAATACACTTTCACCACTCTCCCCCAGGGATACATCAACTCATCCACCCTGTGCCATAATTTAGCCCGAAGGGACCTTGATCGCCTGTCTCTTTCACAAAATGTCACACTGGTCCATTATATTAAGTGGCCCAGAACCAGAAACAGCTCTGTAACAGGTTCAGGCTGCTGTGCAAGCTGCTTTGCCACTGGAGCCATATGAGTCATAATCGACCCAATGGCAGTAAGTGTAGTATAGTAGTATGAGTATAGTATGGTAGTACTCTAGAAGATAGATAAAAGAGAGATACCCAATAACTACATTTCCTGTACTTCTTTGAAGTTTATGCTGATACATATGACTCATGCTAGACCACTCACTTGAGATTGGGAGGAAGAAGGGAGCAAGATGAGATGTGAGAAGGTGGTGATGCAGGCATTGGTGGCTGTGCGGTGGTTTCTAGTAGACCAATACTGCGTCACATTTGGGCACTTGTCCTAGATGCATTGTTCATGTTTGTATTTTTTTGTTTAAGTAATGTCGCCTCCAAACCTGGTTCTTTGTGCCTCCCTACCCATCTAGTCCCCCGCTATAGTAGTAAACTATTGAAGATTCTTTGATCTCATTTTGTTAAAATTAACATTAGTGGATCTTTTTGCAACCAAGAACCCTCACTGACACACAGTATCTACATATGTTATCTACTCTGAAAGTCTTGTCCCATGGCATTTGCATCAGTCAGAATTATTGAGGGCAAACAACAATAACACCTGCGAGCTGCTGTGAGCAGGAAGGAACTTGTTAACATCTATGTGGCAATTACAGAATCTGTCAACTTGTGAAGAGGTGGAGTCTAGCCTGTCAGTCAGGCTGTAGGCCACTCACTTATCTAGAGAGATCTTAAGAGGTAATAATATGCACAAAAAACAAGACAGAGCAAAACAAAAAGAAAATAAAACAAAACAACAAAAACTAAGTACAAAAAAAAAAGAAAGAAAAGAAAAGCCTGTAAATAGTTCAAAGTTTGTTTGACGTTTAAGAGTGTTTTCTGATTCAGTCTGATGGGGTGCCACGCCCTGGCCGGTAGTCTGTGTTTGGTATTTCCTGGGGACTTTGTTGCTCTGTTCCCCTTACTGTTCTGTTGCACACTCTTAGTGTTTCACCTCTGTGTGGTGGGGTCAGATCGGGCTCAATTCCCACATTGTGTCTCCAGTGTTGTCCCCTGTAGGTCTATGGGTCAGTGAGAGATGTCTTGTCTCGTAGTGGGGCCGGCCATATGGTCTTCTCTGTGCTTTTGCTGCTCTGAGCGGGAATATCGTCCTCAGGGCTTGTTGGGCTGATTAACAGTGAATCACTTAAAAAAAGTTAAAAGAAAATGTGAT